CCAAAATTTTCATATAGATGTTTGATATAGAACTTGTTCCTTTTATACTTTTTTTTATAGGGTAAAATTATACATCCTCCGTCCATAACTATAGTTTAAATTAGGTTTGACACGAGATTTAAGAAATATTCATATTATATAGGTAATGGGTAAAAAGTATGAGTAAATGACTTTTTTGTCCTCGTGAATGTATTAGTGTAAAAAGTAGTGACAATTGTGTAATAATAATGAAAAAGTATGAATAAGTTTATAGTGATATAGTTATTTATGAAAATAAGACTATTGTTTTGGAATTGAAAAAAATAATAAACAGAACTATTGTATTGGAACAGAGGGAGTATATATTTGGTTGAACACGTAATTAAAAAAATAATAATATTTTTAATATTAAAATAAAATAGGTAAAAATTAATGTTAGAGTATTATAGAAAATTTATTTAAAAATAATAAAAAAATATTATAAAAAATATGCTCACTTTCTTTATTTGTTTGTTATAAAAATAGTTGGTTAAATAGACAAAATAATGATAAATTGATTATTAGTATTTGTTAAAGTAAAATTAATAAATTTATTTATTATAAATAATTTATATAAATTTATGAATAATAAAAAAATTAATAACTTAATTTTGGCAGACGAAATAAATAATTAATTTTAGTTTTTTTTTTCTTTAAATTCTCACTATGTTCAATAAAATAAGTAAATAATTAAGATATTATTATTATTATTATTATAATAAAAAAAATGTGGAGGTGAGTAAGTGTACAGCTAATTAAAGGACAATTTTATTTGATTTGTTTTGAATGCACTCTAGTAGTCAAGTTCCAAAATAGTACAGCCGAGCCGAGCCATTAACATTGTTTCTGTTCCATTTCAATTATTTTTTGTTTTTTTAAATAAATGTTAAAAATTTTATTTTTTTAATAAAATTAATTCATTTTAATTATGAATAAATAAATATTTTTTATTTATTGATATTATTTAAAATTTTATTTTTTATAAAATAATATCCACGTTGCATTGCATGTACTCCATTTTATTGTAAAATATTTTAATACATATTTTAAATATATTTTAATCATATATATTAAATTTACCAATAATATTATTTATATAAAAATATTAATAAAAATAATATTATAATTTATTATTATTATTTAATTAAATATCGGAATTCAAACAAAACGAATCATTTAAAAATGGGACAGAAGAAATATATAGTTTACTTTCTTTGTAAATAATGAGTATTCTCTATTTGTATTTTTGGATGACTAAATATTTTATATTCCCTCCGTCTCATAATTAAGTATCCATTTACTTTTTGTGTGTTCATATTTAAATATTAATTATTATATCAAAACGTATTACAAATTAAAAAAAATTACAAAAATATTCTTTATTAGTGTCTTATAATACTAATATAATGACATTTGTATAAAAAATTATACAAATATAAAGATATTTTTAACATTAAGTACAATGATACAAAATGTAAATATATACTTTGTTATGAAATAGAGGGAGTATTATATATAAAAAAATAGGATCGATAATATAAAAATATTATTTTCATCTACGAAATTATTTTTATATCTCCTAATTTTGTGCTCAAAACTGTTTAGCACGTGTTATAGTATGAGATTTTGATTGACTTTTCTTTTTATATACTTTTTACTTTTTATTAAAAAATAATCCCGATGTCATACAAAATGTATGCTCATTCGATCAGATACAAATTTTAATAAAAATGAATAATAATTGTTACTTTTTTCTTTTATAGTAAAAAAAAGTAAAAAATATAATGATTTTTTACTTAAAAATAAACGAAAATATTTTTTGATGATAATACATTTGAATGAAGGAGTATAGTTTTTTTACTTAAAAAATAATATTTCATTCCTCCCATAAGAAGTATGCAATTTTTTTATTTTTATTCGTCTCAAAACAAGGATATTATTTTCTTATTTAGTAATTGAACTATATACCTAACGTAATTGATACTTTTACAACTTCCAATATATTACACAAATATCATTACTTTTATATCACACAATCTAATAGGGATATTTTTGTTATTTTTATTATAAATTAATATAATATTAATCTTAAAAAATTTATGTACAAAAAGTAAACGTTACTCATTTTCTGGGACGGACGTAATAATATTTTTTAGTGACAAAAATGTAAACACAATTGTAGGAGACTAGAAATATTTTTATCTTCTTCTTTTTTTTTTTTTTTTTTTTTTCAAATATACAAAATATAACATTTCTTTAAGAAATTCAAATAATGAGTACATTTTTTATAAAAAAAAAGAATAAAATTATTGGGTTAATAAACCCAGGATTATTATTACTCCCGATGACCCCATTTTTTTTTATACGTGATACAAAAGATGATTTATTTTTATTTTTAGTAAATTTATCAATTTTAAATATAATTAACAAATATAAAACAATTTAATTGTACTTCTTTAATATCTTACACGTATGTTACACTCAAAATTCATTTATTTCTATTTTTTTCTTCAATTAACAAATATTTTTATCTACTTTTAAAACTCCTCATTTTTATAAATCTAATTTATAGTAATAATAAATAAATAAATATATATTTTTTTTATTAATTTGTATTATATAAAATTTTATTGTCTACAAAATGATATCATATTGCTTGCATATATAATTCTAAAAATATTTAAAATACTAATAACACTACCCATATAAAAAATATAAAATATTATATTAATTTATCATTAATAATTTGATAACTTATACTCTATAAAATACCGTGTCCCTAACAAAAAGCTCTATTTCTCGTTGTACGGAGGGAGTATTATTATTATTATTATTACTCCCTTCGTCCCGAAATTAAATATCTATTTGCTTTTTACACGTAGTTTTAGAAATATAAATATTATATTGAAATATAGTAGGAATAAAGTATAAATGACTAAAATAACCTTATTAGTATGTGTGATATAAAGGCAATGACATTTGTGTAATATATTGTAAGTTGTAAGGGTATTTGTAATGTTACGTAGAAAGTAAAGTTACTAAAAAGAGAAATTAATACTTTGTTATGAGACGGATTAAAATGAAAAAATGGATACTTTGTTATGGGACGGAGTGAGAGAATTATTGATATTATAATTATTACGTGGAATTAAAATGGAATATGTCTGAACTGATTATTTAATGCACTGAACATGAAAAAAAATAAAATAAAATAAAAATGCGAATAGGGTAGGCGTTGTGCAGTAGCAATTATGCTGTAATACCACACTTACTATAAGTATGTAATAAAAATGAAAATAAATTTGGTAATTAATTAAACACAACAGTCGCAAGTCTAAAAAAGCTGTTGCATGTTTTGTACCCCTACTAAGACAGCTGGAATTTAGGGTCAGTTTTTATTTTTATTTTTGATTCGAAATTGAATTTTTAGTTTAAATTTTAATTTAAATATAATTTTGATGTATTATTTTATAAAGAAAAATAATATATTTTTATAAAAAATTATGCTTATTAAATATTGTTGATTTGTGATTGAGCTACAAAATAGTGTGTTTGTTTGTAGAGTTCGAATTTGAATTTTTAATTATGAAATATTACTGACATAGTAAATGATGTTTAATTAGTTAATAAAAATAAATTATAATATTATTTTATTATTTTTTATATAACTATTAGTATGGATAGTGTTAAAATAATTTTAATAAAATTTTAATACGTATTTAAATATTTTAAAATTTTTTTATCTCAATAAAAAATATACTTCCTCCGTTGCAATATTATTTTTATTCGTCCCAAAACAATAGTCTTATTTTCATAAATAATCATATCACCATAAAATTACAATACACTCGCAAGGGCAAAAAAGTAATTTAATCAGACTTTTTATCCACTGCCAATATAATATTAATATTCCTTAAATGCAGTATACAATCCAATTAAAACTATATTTATTAGACGGAGAGAGTATATAATATGAATATAATTATATAGATAATAAAATTTTTTATAATACAAATCAATTAAAAAAATATATTTATTTATAGTTAATATAGATTAATTTTATAAAAAATTTAAAATTTTCAACGTAGATAAAAATATTATTATTATTATTATTATTATTATTATTATTATTATCATCGAATACTTCTATTTTTTCTTTTGATCCCCAGGGATACTTCTATTATTATTATTATTTTATTTATTTATTTATTAATTTTTTGTTAGTTAATCTAGGCTTTGGAGTTTGATACTTTTTCATTAATGGGCACTTTTTTTTATAGTTAAATTATTGTTTAATAATGGGCACTTTTTTTTTTTTTTTTATATATTTTTATATTTTTTTTACTTTTATGAATGGGCCTTCCACCAACAAATTAAAAGACCAACATATAAAAAGCTACACTATTCCATTTGTCATTCTTTATGCCAAAAACAATTTAGAATTTAACATTTTCATTTGAAAATTTAAGTTCTAATGTAAAAAATAATGATTATTTTTATTGAAAATTGTATTTGAAATGAATAATAGAATTCATTATTTGAAATATAAAATAATAAATTTTTCTACATAGTTGTTATTTTATCTTATTTTATTTTTTATAACATAAAAACCATAGTCATTAGAACAATTTTTTGGCCGAACTTAATAACTTGTAAATTAAGTTCCACACGTACATGTGTTTTTATGTTTACTAAAAACTTTCAAAACCTAAAACATAGATAAACATAAAATGTAAATATTGAGTTTGTTCAGCTTGTATTTTTAGATATAAGTATTTTTTCTATGTTAATATGAAAAATTATATTTATAATATTAAAAATAATATTATGTGTTTAATTGTTGACTTTTTTTATAACTGAATAAAATATATATTATATATTATGTTAATGTGTATATATTATATATATTTTTAATAATACTTATAAAGTATTGTCGACTAAAAATACTAATTGAACAAACCCTTTATAACAACTCTATTCAATGTTAAATTTTGTGCTGATTTGACCGGATCAACATGTGTTATATAAGTGACTAATATATTTATATATAAATATGCTGAAATATCTGTAAATATATGTTAGTGCTGTATATTGATTTAGTCAAATTAGAACTTAACCAATGACATGCCCTGACGCTAACGCTAACTAAGGGCATGTTTGGACAACAATTCTTGAATTATATAATAAACAAACACACACAATATTGAACAATCCAAGAATTAAGGTTATGCAAATCCTTACCTCCTCATACCTTAGGTCTGCAATTGCCATGAGAATCATTCCATTTGGATCCACACCTGTAACAAAACTCATATCTGCACCTGCAAGTTATATGAACACACCCCTCGCCCTTCTCCACATACATCTTACACTTAGGACATCTCTGCCACTTCTTCTTCCTCGCCAGCTTTCTCACTATCCTCTCCCCGTCCCGTCCGCCGCCCCTTTTCGACTGCGCTTTCCGCACCTCCTTGCACGTGAACTCGGGATGCCACGGGACGCAGCATTCTCCGCAGAATCGTCTCTTGCAGACGGGACATTTGATCTCCCTCACGATTTCTCCGCCGCCGTCGTTTACCTATGGATAAGACCGAATCATAATCTGAAACTACCAAATCTCAAATTAAATTGATCTAAATCTAAAATATTTCAACAACCAGCATGGTCGAGCAGTCGATGAAGGGGCAGTATAGTTTCTGAGATTCCGGGATCAGGGACATGCATAGATGCTCGTCCCATTGGACGAGGATGTCGTCGGGAATCATTAGCCGGCAATCGGCGGAGTTTAACGACGCCTTGCAGTGAAATGCGGGGCAAGGTATTGTTTTCGAATTTTCTTCGATCTTCGCCGCGATGTGGCGGCTCGTGCAGCCGTAGCAGAAGGAGTGGGAGCATTCGTCGCTAGCGTACATTTGCCAGTTTTCTTTGTTGTCCAAACAGATTTCGCAGAAGCTTTGCTGTGACGAGTCTTCGAGTCCTTTTCCGAATGTTTTTTGCTCCTTGTTGTGAGATGAAGAAGCCAACAATGCTTCATGAATCTGAATTTCCTCTGCGTAACTAGCATCGTTATCGACTGCGATTTCGTATTCTTGGAAAGCTTTATCCATGGTTCCTGAATAAATTGCAGCAATTAGGCAAAGGCAAAATTGGTGGATCAATTGTTAACAGAGGATGCCTCAAAACTGATGCAATAGCAATGATAGAGAGACTTCTAGCATGATAAATGAATGGGTATATGTTACATTTTGCATATTATTGATAATGAAATCAAGGGAACCTATAAATAATATCCAACTAATCTAAATAATAGAAATTTAATTTAAATTAAATATTTAAAATATCTCTAACTCTCTCTCAAACTTAAGTAATGACGACGAACCAATTTGAATTTGTAAAAAAAAAATCGGAGATGATATGGCCAAAATTGAGTTAGTAGAAACAACTCTGTCAATTGAGTTAGAATAAAAAAATACGGAGTCAAAATCGAAAACGAGACTTGTTCCTAACAAAGTTAGAAATACAAACAAAAATTGGTGGATATCAGAGTTAGAGAGTTGAAGACCCAACTTACTCGTAACGGAATTAGAGTCGGAAATTAAACTCTCAATATAGTCTCAAATGAAATCGTAAAGACCGAATATAAATTTTTATTGAAAGCTAAAAAAAAAATTAATTAAAATAAATTTGCATGCTGGTATCAAAATTTTTAGAACTTTAGTGAAGATACCATGTTACATTCTACAAAGAATTCAAAATCAAGAGATTATAAATAGTCATTCTATTGATTAAAATAATAACTTAATCGTCGGATATAACCAAATAATTACGACCTAATTTAGATAATAGAGAAAATCTAAACCACAATTATTTTAATCTTTTCTACTGCAATTTTTTGAATGTAAAATTAATTTTTAATATAATATAAAAAGTAAAAATAAACGTTTGATTTAATGTTCTTAGGAAAAAAAATTAAAATAAATAACGTATTTAAAATCCAATTCCCAAACATCCACACCCCCTGAATGCATTTTCCTACAGTCGATTTATACTCAAAACCTATCAAATCCACATTAACACTGAAACCTTATTTGGTACTATTTATTTTTTTAAAAACTATCATATCAAACACAATTTTTTCTCACTAAAATATCAAATCAAATAAATAATTTTTTATCTTTTATTCCAAACTTACAAAATTCCAAAATATCCGAAAATTCATTAGTTAACCGCAGATTCGCGAAATTCACTGATTTCACAGAGCATATCAATCTCCACAGAAACAATTTCCCCAATCAATAACCCTACCACTTCACCTATACAAAATTGAAAATCGGAAGTAAAATTTTACCGTCATCGGCGATAGGAGCACCAATCCGCTCCTCCGGCGACTCTCCGTTGACCTCCGCCTCGAAAACTTCTGTAGGAGAAAATGATTCGTCGACTTTCCTCCTCCTTTTCGAGTTCCGCAGCAGCATCCATGCAGGCGCAGTGATGGCGAAGAAAGTACCAGCGGAGTACAGTAGGATTAAAATTACAGACGATCCGAAGTCGGAGCAGAGGCGAGCAACAAGCCAATTGAAAACATCGGTTAATTTGATCGGGAAATACTCCGGTGCTTCATCGGGAAATTTGCAGTTGACGGAGGCTAATGGCCGTGTCGCCGCCGGAAACATGTGGAGCCGTCTTCTGTGGAAAGGAACTTCCACTCAGTGTTGTTCTGCTTCTGTATCTTTATAAACATATAGGGCCTTTGTTTGGTTTGAAAATCAAAATTAAAAACATTTATTCCTTACTCATACGTGCTTATTTGACCGAATACGAATTTTAATAATAATAAATAATAGTTTTTTTATTTTTATATAGTAAAAATATACAAAAATATAATAATTTTTAACTAGATATTTTTACGATGACAACCCAAAATACCTCAAAACAAAAATAAGTATAGAAGTACAATTCTCTTTAAAATTTAGAACCAAACATACACTTCAGCATTTTTAACCATCCCCTGAATATATATGGCTAAAATGCTAAATAGATTTAAAAAGAATAATAATTTTGGTCCAATATAAATATATAATTAAAATATTATCTACCAAATTTATTCTTATTTTTTTAAAGCAATAAATCTCATAATTAATTTTAACCGATTAACAAATTAATATTTAATTATTATTTTACAAATCAATGTTTAAAATTTTGAATAGTTGATATAATTATAACAAATTTATTAGGTATGTTATTTTAAAATATTTTGTTTAAAATTTTATTATTTATTACTCTCTTTGTTATTTAAATTTATTTTTACTTTTTTTTTTCATTTAAATTTATTGCAGTTTTTATTTTAAATTTACTATTTTCTTTTAATTTTATTATAATTTTTTTATTCTTTTTATTTTTACCTATTTTTGTTATAAATTATGTCCGATAAAATGAGCATTCATTTACACTACACGACTGAGGGGAACTCATTTACACTACACGACTGAGGGGTTCCTCCCACATCTATGTTTTGAAATTTTTTACGGTGGCGAAATGACGGAAATGCCCACAGCAAACCGGCCTGGTTCCCCCTCGAGAACCTTACTCGACTTCCCTCTTTTCTCGGGCGCAGCTTAAAATCGCGCCGGCGGAGGCTGCGGCGGGAGCTTCACGGCTTGGTGGAGCTGGGAGCCTCCGGCGCTCCTCCATTGGAGATCTTCGGTATTCCCCAGTACCTCCTTCATGGCCGTCCTCATCTCCTCAACCGCCGTGTCCATGTCCGTAGTGTCGCCGTCCACGGCACATCTTTATCCGACCGTACGCGTGTTGATCCTCCACACTCGCCGGAGAGCGAAGTTCTGAGATCGGAATCGAATTCGATGGTCCGAACCCGGAGATCCACATCAATGGCCGCTCGAAAAAGCTATAGACATCAGCGGGAAAACATCGATCCTGGCTTTCTCTCGGTAGAATTCCTGGTATTGTGAAACCACTTGCGCTGTTATATCGCTGAAATTCTTTATCCCTGTAATAATCATCAAATCGTACACCAATTGTGATTGGAGCATATTAATGGAAATATCTCCTTATTTTCACTTTTGTCATATGGACAAATTACTTTCAGACAAACTCAGTCAGACCTGCACAGCTTGTATATTTGTTTTGTCTTCTCCATTTTATTTTTGTTGAGAACCGCCCCGTTCCATTTAAATGTGAAGGGAATTAATTGTTCCTTGATTTATGCTCAAACTAGGCTGTTGTATACAGCATGGGACAATCTCCGTTCTGTGCAGTGAGAGAGCACATTTGAAGAGATTATTCTAGAGATAGAAATTATTGTTGAAGCTCTCATCCGACTCCCTGATGAAGGAAATTTCAGAGATCCAATAGGAGATGACAACGAGTCTGTTGGCTGCCTGCATACTCTACGCTTGTTGTATACACTCGCGTTAGTTATATAGGTCAAGTGAGTTTAAGGTTGTTTTGTACTATATTCAAAGTATCTCATGGATTGGATCCCCCATATGTAGGTTGGTTTAGAACTGAACTGGACTCCCAAATACTTTGTCTTCTTTATTTCTTTGGTGTTCCAATATTTACTTGGTTGACAGGGAGTTGTTATTATTTTATGATAACCACACCATTTTCTTGGTGTTCGAAGCAGATTTGTCGATCCAGAGCCTTTGTCGCAGAGCTTCTAGGTCGATGAACCAATTCTCGAAGGAGGTGGAGAACAAATCAGCAGAAATGTAAGAGATTTTGGAAGGGAAATCACTGCCATGATAAAGGAATGGCAGTATGCACATACATACTCTCACACACACACACGTGTGTATATATATATATATATATATATGGCAAAATTATATATAACTTAACTGGTTTGGAAAGTCTATCCCTGTGAGAAACTGCATGGCTCCTTGTGTTTAAAAAATATTGAATCCCCTCAAAATTTGGGCAAGACAACTTTGTGTTTTCGAAAATATTGTATGTATCTAGTGAAAGGATCCATTAGGGTATTTGCTTAGGGTTTCAGGTTGACTGATTTGGGAACATAATTTCTTCCATTTTGAGGCTAAAAATGATCTTATTAAAGAATTAAGAAAATTTAGGAAATTGGTGGTTAAATACATACATGCATACAGCTTGGTTCTTCATTGGCGAAGATGATGAAAATGGTAGGCAGGAAGAACACTAGGTAGCTTCCTTGGAACTGTCTAAGCCCTCTGCCATATTAAGTAAATTGATCATCTCCTACATATTAATTATGCATTCGTGCGTCTGCAGATCAGAATTGAGCTAATTCTATTTTGAGCTAAGTTACATGTGACATCCAAGAATATATAGATATGTTAGTGGCCTTGTCTCTCTCACTTCCCTCTCAGGAACGTCGAAGACTCTTGAAGATTACCACAAATAGAGTGAATAAATAACTGAAACATGTTGAAATTAGCAGTTACCTTGTGTTATTGCTGATGAATGAAATTATATTGTCCTGTTCTTCATTGATATTGGAGATTACCTATTTTAATGGATCCTTGTTTGGTTAGGAAAAAGGGATATAGATTTTCATGGCACAGTTTAATACTAGGTGCCATTGTAAGTACATATGTGTTGTGGTGGTGTTATTATGTATGGAGTTCTTGTTTCTTGATGCAGCTAAAAATAGTATGTTCTGCACTTCCTTTTTGCTCGAAATGATCTTTGCATCGTAGGACTTTAGTTGGATCTTGGGAACATATATTTAAATTCTCTGTTAGCAGAAGCGGATTTTGTAACATTGGCCTTAGAAATATAAATAGAACTATATATATACATGTGCATGCATATATTGTAGGAGGCGGATGGTGTTATATAGTGTAACTAGACTTGAAATTCCTAACGCTTCATATAATAGTTTCATAGCACAATGACTTTGAATCATATTAGACTTTTCAGGGTGAATGGGTGCTTAAATGTCTCAGTAACCTGACTTCTATGAATTACCCAGTCTCTTTAGGGTGTGTTTGTTTGGGGGATTAAATTTTGATTTGGGATTTGAATAGTAAAAATTTTGAATTTGAATAGTTGTATGATGTGATATAAATAGGTATTGATGTGATGTTTTGAATGTAAACTTAATTTTTAGTATAATATAAAAAGTGAACAATAGGTATTTGATTTGGTATTTTTGGAGGAATTTTTTTTTTTTTTTTTTTATGAATAGTAGAAATTTGATAAAGTTTGTTAAACGAACACACCCTAAGTTGTGTATGTGCTTTGAATTGTATGGATTACATGTCTATAAACTTTTCTTTTGAACATAATAGAAATTTTCGATGTGTATATAATAATCCAAATAATGAAGCCAATCATGCAGGTCTGTCCATGAAGGCTCAGAATATGCCAAGCAGGATGGCTCAGGTATAATCTATATTTGCTATAAAGATATGGGAATTTGGAATTAGAAGATTTAATGACTTCGTGCCTTCTGTTTAGTATATTACAAACCCTCCAAGCTGAAGGATTTTGAATTTAGGAATCATTTCTATTCCAATTCTAATTTCTTATTGGGAACCAAATGTCTACTAATTCCTTTACTCTGAACTGTCTTGTTAGTACTCAATTTTAAGCTAAATGTAAGTTTTAACTTTTATTACAGGAGGTTCTATCAAAAAGTTATGCTGGATACTTTAGGTTTTAGAAACTCACTTCCTTTTCTTTTGAATGCAGCTGTGTTGTTTGGAGCTGGACCATGGAACCAACTATTTGGCGTTGTCATATCACAAGCATTTGCTGCTGGACTTACAGGCCCAATTAACTATGTTTTGAAAAACTCATGATCATTGTTGAGGTACCTGCAGTGCAGAGTCGAAAAAAGAAAAGAAAATCAAGAAATTTGTTTTAAGTTGAATTGCATTCTCAGAATCCTGTTCTGCCTTTGGAGGTGTAGGTTCATAGTTGAAAATGCACTAAGTATGGTATATAACCAAAAAAATCCTATGGAAAATGATGTATGTAAGTTATTCTTGGTGTCCTGAATTAGGAACTTCTCACAGTTATTCTTGGTGTCCTGTGTGAATTTTTCTGAGTGGTAAACTTTTGTTGTACCGTGGGAAGAAGTTTGCAAGGGATGGATAACCTGCAGTCTAGAACAAGAACAATGGTTAGTACAAAAGTATCATATGCTCTGAAAATCGACACATTTAAAACACCTCTCTGTTAAATCGAACAAAAGAGTCATCATATAAATAATTTTGCTCGTTGGATAGAATTCTATTGATTATTTCATTTATGCTGTTACATTGTTATGTAAAGTGTTGGAAGGATGAATTTAGGAGTGACGAAACTAGTGCCATGCTTGTTTTACCAATTTTGTACATAAAAAAATTCAAAACTCATCGGCAAAGTTTCACTATTTCTAAAAGGTCTTCTGATTGTATCACTTCTGCTGTCAAGATATTATTTCCCTCAAAATTAGCTAGTTCTATTTCCGATAGTCCTTAAATCCATCTATCCTTGAATACAAAGAACCTTCTAGACAAACCACGTTGTAGTAAAACTCTTCCCATACTAAACTAGTACCAAATAAGTGGGATAGAGTATTTTTGTAAACATCATTTAGAGGTGATTCGTATAATGAAACAGAAATTAGGTTAGCTTGAGCTGATTCTAACATCTTTCTTGTAGCAACTTTTAACTATCATGGATTCATGATAAGCAGCTAGATGCTGGGATTTATTCCTGAAAGAAAATTTGGGAATTTTGGTTCCCCATTAGTGGTGTAACTATTATGCCATGGAATCTCCTGCAAATTGCAAAGTAACATTTCTATGTGTTTGCTGCTCATATAACCTTATCACAATGACATGTTTCCATACTCTTTAACCTGCTGTCTTTCTGTCAGCATTATTAGATTTTTACTAAGTGCTGCCTTATCCTTTTCTTTTTATTTGCATCCGAACCTTGGAATAGATTCTTATGTTTGTTGTGAACTATCAATTATATCCGGAAATGGCGTGAGTCATTAAATGCTAATCCTGTTCCATGAGTGATTGCTACTGAATAGGAAGAAAATTTTCTATTATTCTTTACTTTGTTTAAAGCTGATGCATATCGATACACTGCACATAGCGATACTTCTCGTAACTCACTGTTGAAGAATATATTAGTCGGTGGAAATCAATTTTTTTAATCGACTTAGCAGACATGCATCATTCTGTTAGAAAATTATCTTGTCCATTTTCGACACAGGAAATCAGATGTCCTCAGCCATATGGTGGTGAACCCCACTAATCATTCAATCTGCCTTGATTTATTTTACTCACACTACACCAAAAGGAATTACTGTGGTTTATTTACTTCCATACACATTCTAACAAGTTAATTTTTTTTTTTACTCTATGCAGTTAATTCTCGATCCCCCCATTTTTTAAAATTCCATGCTTTTTTTTGCAGCAGGGCAATGGAGGGCGAAGCCGAAAGCGCTCTCTCAGCTGGCAACTTATTGCGCTGAAAATTTGCCTGACACTGTGATGTGATTTTTCAAGATGGTAATTATCTTCTTCCATTGCTACAGACATTAAAGTATTAATTCTTCCTTTGTATGCTTGTTCTCAGACTGTTGCTTAGGTAAATGAACACACAAATATATAATATAAATACACTCATATATATGTATATATATAAATGTATGAACAGAAATTGAAGTCAGTGCTTGTTGTTGCTTGGGAAGATGATTATATAAAGGTGTGGATTCTGTTCTGTTTCTTGCCAAAATTTTACAGGTCAGAGAGGCAGAGGCAGGCACACAGGGTGGGGTGGGGTGGGGATGAAGGCCCCCACTTTGAGGCACTCACATCCTTTGCTGTAGGTAAGGGATACAAAATTAAATGGCTCCAGATTCTGCACGTAGCTCGAATTAACCGTATCTTTCATCGCATTGTTTCTTTTCTTTCCATCTGCTGGTATTTCTTACATCCACATTCTGCCCCCCACCCCACCCCACCCCCTCAAATTTAACCCTGTGGTCCCTTCTACCATATGTGTGATTTTTATCATCTGTGCACATATTTATGTATTTTATCTATCTATCTGTTGTTCCAGGACAAAATTTTCTTTTCATAGCACCGCAAGATTTTGCCGCCTTTAAACCCCACAGCTCTGTTTTTACGGTGCATCCGTCGTCATCATCAAGTAAGTCATTATTATTTACTAGCGCCGGCTGATAAAATAGTACCGATCAATTTATGCTAAATTTTCTGGATGTACTTTGTAGCATGCATGACATTTGAATTCTCCTCGAATATTGAGTTGATTAAATAGTGATTTGAATATGATATTTGGTGATAGTAAATTGTGCATTTTGCTTTTTAAAAAAATGGCTAGAATTGCATAGTATAAAAATTGAAACTAATTTTTTGGGTTGTAGTTTGAATATTGGTTTGGAAATATTTTGTAAGAGCAAACAATATATTTTTATATTGCACAGTAAAGAATCTAGAACCAAATTTGTTGGTATTGGTTTGAATAGTGGTTTGTAGACGATGTTTTGTAAGAGAAAAAAATATATTTTTACCAGAGTATCGTAATGATTGTATAGTAAAGAAATTGGCATCAAATGTTTTATTTTTTGTTTTTGTTTGTGTTTGACTAGTGATTTGTTTTGTAAAAGAAAATAATATTTTCTAGAGAGGATTGTAATGATTGTATAGTATAAAGAAACTAATGATGTTCTGTGATAGAAAATAATTTATTCTTATTGTGAAAGTTACAATAAATAAACTAAAATCAAAATTTGATACTATCTCCGTTCCATAGAAGGTTGCCATTAGCCTTTTGTACCATTGTACTAAATGATAAAAATATCATTTAGTATATTATAAGAGACTAATAGAGGTATTTTTGTTATTTTTTCTTAATTAATATTCAAAGATTTACAATACTCTTCTTATGAACGAAGGTAGTATTTTGGTTTAAGTAGTAGTTTGGATATGATGTGTTTTGTAGGAGAAAATAGTATATTTGTATATGATTGCATAATAAAGAATCTGAAATGAAATTTCCAAAGTAAATAGAGAAAGGTGTGTTAGTTGTAGAGTGAAAAGGGTTGAGACGGGGGCCTGAAAGTGATGATATTGGGGGAACATGTACCTCTAAAATTGGGGAAGCAGCCAAGGGCATGTTTGGGTGTTAAAAACCAGTTTTCAGACAGGCACAAACTCTTGCTGGGGACTGTAATGCATCACATGGAACTGTGAGCCTCTCTCTCTCTCTCTCTCCTTCTCTCTCTCTCACTATATATATATATATGTTTGTATGTATGTATTGTGTGTGTTGTTGTTGTTGTTGCTTCAGGACATGCCAACATTTCCAATCTTCCCATATGTCTATGTGTATGTATTATCTCTCTCTCTCTCTCTCTATATATATATATATATGTATATATTCTATTCTTTTCTTTTTCTAATGCATGGTTTTTGTTTGTAGGTGGAGGATGTATGTATATATATATATATATATATTATGTAGATGTAGATAGATAGATACATACAATATGCTCAATCCCATTCACCCCTTCCCACTCACCACTCAAATAATAAATACTAATATTATTCTTTCTTTTCTTATCTACTTTTTGTGGCAAGAAGCTATGTGCATTATACTTTTATTTACTTTTGCTTTGAAATTAAATTTTGTTAGGTAAAATATAATATTTCCCTCCGTAGCTAAATTTATTTTTATTTTTATGTCTGTATGTTAAGTTTACCCATTACTATATTAGGGGAAAAAAATCAATATTTGATTATTATCATTTATTCAATATTTATTTACAACAAACACAATAAATTTATTACATTCTTTTTATATTTTAAATTACTAATTAAATTTCTAGAAATACTTCTAACTATCATTTCACTTTTTTATGTTTTAGTAAAATACGAATTTACTTTTCTTAATCTCCGAACTAACTTAAAATGAGCTAATTTTTGCGAACTGAGAAAGTAGTTGATTGTCATGTTTTATCTAAAGTTTATGTATGTAAATTATGTAAAGTGAATAGTGATGAGTTTCTAAAGATTGTCCCATTTGGGATTTGTTTGATTTTGATTTGAGTTGTGTTTTTTTACTATTTGAATTTTGGTTTAAATAATATTTTGATAAAAAAATTTATTTAAAAAATTAATTTTTATGGGTAACAATTGAACGGTGATGATTTTAAAATTAAAACAAAAGTTCTCACCAAAACATGTGGTATTTTTTTAGTTAATAATTCTTCCATACACTAGCAAGCGACAAAATATGCAAAAATAAAAAGTATGTTTATGATTAAAATTTTACATTAATATGCTAATAACAATAAAAGTATTTTATAAAATGATAACATATTTTATTCTATACCTATTATTTGTAAAAAAAATGTATTTTTAGTTGATGAAAAATGTAAAAAATAGTTTTGAAAATATATAAATATATTATATATATATTCAACCAAAAATCAAATATTTCAGGACAGTCCCACCACAATATAAAGGGCAGATGGTTGATTATCACCTAAACCAAAATTCTTGGACTTAAAATAAACCGCCATTTTGGTCGGTTCAAATATAATAATGCCAACTCAACCAATCACATTTTCAAGAACCCTACCATATATCTTAAACTAAATATATTAAATAAATTATTTAATTAATTTGTTACGTAAATTTATTAAATAATTTTGAAAATAAAAAGAAACCCCTTTCATGGTCTCCACACGTCTATCATTTGTAAGACAGCCCCAATTCCTAAATCATTATAGCTAAGACAAATGTTGTAGACACATTTAAATATTTTTCCCAAGATTATAGTAAAGAATTATTAAGGCACAAAAGGGAATGAAGAACTAATTTTTTAATTCCTAAATGTTTGACACGTGGAATCGTAGGGCCCACAATCTTGTGTGTATAAATATGGACAATCTCTATGTATGCTATAACTTCAAACACCCCAAAAACAAGACACCCTTTTTCTCATTATCCCATTTTCCTTTTATTTTATTTTTTTTCTTTAAAAAAAAAAAAAAAGAAAATCATTTTCTTGATCTCCTTATTAACTTAGCCAACATTTTCTTGTTCCATCATCTTCACAATCCATAAGGTTAGCTATGTGCAACCCTAAGCCCTCCCATGGCTTCTTAAACCCTAAAATATCAATGGAACATTCCTCGGAAATCGTCGACGATCACGCCCTTCGTAGGTGGCCGAATGTCTCCGAGGTAACATACTTCCACGCATTGTCCTTAAATTGATTCAAACAGTAATTTGAATACAATATTTTGTAAGAAAATAATCAGCACTGCATAGTAACAAATTAAACAGTAGTTTTTAACTTTCTTAATTCTTATAAGCCATCGAAGAAATAAAGGGTCTTGATTTTTTTTTTTTCTTGATTTTTATAGGCCATTGAAGAAATCAAAGAAATCGGGAAAATTTCATGCCCCACGGCGATGACGGGGCTAATACTCTACTCCCGGGCGATGATCTCAATGCTCTTCCTCGGGTACCTCGGCGAGCTCGAGCTCGCCGGCGGGTCCCTCTCCATTGGAGTTGCGAACATCACCGGGTATTCGGTGATTTCCGGCCTTGCGATGGGCATGGAGCCGATTTGCGGGCAAGCCTACGGCGCGAAACAAATGAAGCTCTTAGGGCTAACCCTACAACGGACGGTGGTGCTCCTCCTCGTCACGTGCCTCCCCATTTCAGTCACGTGGCTCAACATGAAGACGATTCTCCGGTGGTGCAACCAGGACGGCGAAATTGCGGCGGTGGCGCAGACATTCATCGTGTTCGCCGTGCCGGATTTGTTCTTCCTCGCCGTCCTACACCCGATCAGAATTTACCTCCGGACGCAGGGAATTACGCTGCCGTTAACCTACTGTTCGCTCCTCTCCGTCGCGCTGCACGTGCCGATCAACTTCGCGCTCGTGACGTATTTCCGGTGGGGAGTCGCCGGAGTCGCGGCGGCGATGGCGATCACCGACTTGAATCTGGTGGTTCTGCTCTGTTTGTATGTTTATTTCTCCGGAGTTTACAGGGAGTCCTGGGTGGTCCCGGGACTGGATTGTTTGAAGGGGTGGACCTCGCTGCTGTCAATGGCGGTGCCGACGTGTATCTCCGTTTGCCTGGAGTGGTGGTGGTACGAACTTATGATTATGCTCTGCGGCCTTTTGGCGAACCCTAAAGCTACGATTGCTTCAATGGGGATTTTGATCCAAACGACGTCGTTGGTGTACGTTTTCCCGTCGGCGTTGAGCTTGGGGGTGTCGACGCGTGTGAGCAACGCGCTCGGCGCCGGGAGGCCGGCGCGTGCGCGGGTTTCGATGATCGTGTCGCTGGTTTGCGCGGCGGCGATGGGGGTGGGGGCGATGGTGTTCACGACGGCGGTGCGCCACCGCTGGGGGAGGCTGTTCACGGCTGATGCGGATGTCCTCCGCCTGACTACGGCGGCGCTGCCGCTCGCCGGACTTTGCGAGCTCGGGAACTGCCCGCAGACCGCGGGCTGCGGCGTCCTACGTGGCAGCGCGCGGCCGACGATCGGCGCGAATATTAACCTCGGCTCGTTTTATTTAGTCGGCCTGCCGGTGGCGTTTCTGATGGGGTTTGTTATGGGGCTCGGCTTCCCCGGGTTGTGGCTCGGCTTGCTCGCGGCTCAGGCGTCGTGCGCGCTGCTTATGATGGTGTTTCTGAGCCGAACCGATTGGCGGCTCCTCGTGGAGCGCGCCGTCGAGCTCACCTCGCCGGAAAATTCTCCGGCGCCGGAAATTTCGTGTAAAATAAACTACAAAATTGAGGAGACAGATCCTCTGATCATCACGACATTGTAATAATTAATTTTTCAAATTAATTAATTAATTAATTAGCGATAGTTTAAGAATCCCTTTTTGGAGACGAGGATCGATCACAAGGGGAGTTGCCAATATTCTTGATTGGATTGCTTTACTAGCTTGTACCTTTGCCTTTCCGTTTTGTACCATGGCATTGTAGAGACTTTTGTTTTGGAATAGGAGATGTTTATTTGGGTTTGATTGAAAATAATTTAATTTGAATTTAAATTAAAATAATATTTGATGCGATATTTTATAAAAATTATTAAAAAATAAAAAAATTAATTAATAAATTTTGTATTTATTGTGTTAAAACAAAAATATTGAACCAAAAATTAATTTATAATGATGCATTTAAATCAAATTAAATATTTAGTAATTTTATTACCATTATTTTTAAATTGTAAAAATCTTGATATAAAATAGAGTCTAAAATGCCCTTATATTGTAAGTGCTCCACAATTTTTGTATTAATACATTATATACTATAAGAAGGGTTTTTTTTTTTTTTTTTATATTTTCTACTTTAAAATAATAAGATATTTTATAAATATTATTAACTTATATTTAAGAAATAAGAAAAATTATTTATTGATCATAAATATTTTAATTAGTAAAATATACTTATTGCAAGTAGAGTGTAAAACAATTAGGTCATAACATTCTCTTCCATAATTGGAAAATTGGATTCCACCAAAATTTTCTTCTCTATTATTTAATTTCAAAAAATTAAACTATTGCAATATTAAATATTTTTGGTGCTTTCCAGTTCATGATTTATAATTATTTATTTTTGGTAGATAATATTTTTTTGGAAAAATAAATTAATTAATACAATCAGGGAGCTTTATCCTTTTCATTTCTTTATTAATTTAGTACAATCACATTTCGTCTGCCACAGAAATTTATGCACTTTTTGATGAGAATATTGCCAAATTTAGTAAAAGGTGATGCAAATTAAAGAAATGTGGGTTTTATGTTTAATTTATTTTTTAAAAAATAAATGTATTGTGGAGTTGTATTTTTCAAATTTTAATAGTTATTTAAATATAATATTTTATTAAAAAAAAATAATATATATGAATCTTATAAAAAAAATAGTGATGATTACATAATAAAATAACTAAAATTATACTTCAAATAAACATATCTTTTATTCTCTAGTTATATTATTATTTTTTTTTATTTTTCTCAAGTTGGATGTTTAAAAAGCATTAATTTAACGAAACTATTAGCTTTCCTTGAATCAAAGAATATTTTCCAAAAACGGGACCATGCACATATATAGAAATTTTTTCCAATATAGGGTTTGTAATGACACTTACAATTTCTTGATTTAATAAATTTCGTTACGTGATTCAATAAATTATTATGCTAAATTAACATTCGATAGTTGTTTTTTCTTTTACACGGTTCAACATATTTAATTATACATTTTCGAAGAAACATCCCAAATCTACAATAACATCATATAATCCTTAAATTCAAAATTCAATTAATTAATTAAATAATTTGAATTTCAATTTAGTCGAGCATCATCTCGAAATTACATATATAATTATCTTATATTTTTCTTAAAAAATAATTAATTAACGGTTGAAATCACACCTGGTATGGTACGACCATTGTTGATGTTAGCATCATCATGTGATTCGCTATCCGAATTCGACAAAGGATGCCGTAATTGCTAAGGGCACTCCAAATTCTTACAATCCACACTCGATATATATATATATACATACATACATTACGTCTATTACAATGCTTATTGTCACCATTTAGTACAACACATGTACTACTTTATCCGTCCGGCTCTAAGAGTCACATTTACCTTTTGCATCATTATATTTAATATTAAGGGTGTATTTGTTTGAAAGATTTGGGTGAATTTCTACTATTCATACAAATTTTTCCCTCCAAAAATATCAAATCAAAAACATATTTTTTATTTTTCATATTATACTAAAAATCAATTTTATATTCAAAATATCACATCATACAACTATTAAAATTCAAAATTTTTTACTATTCAAATCCTAATCCAAAATCCAAATCCCCAAACAAACACACCAAAGTTTCCTAATATTTGTATAATTTTTTTGTACAAATGTCATTCTATTAGTATTATAAGACACTAATTGAAGTATTTTTGCAATTTTTTCTTAATTTGTACTATGTTTTGATATAATAATTAATATTTAAAGATCTAACACACAAAAAAACAAATGAGACCCTTAGAGCCGGACAAAAGTAGCATAACATAAGTAGAATAAATGAATTGATAATAATATATAACAATGATTCACACAGCATATACTACCATTGATTTCTGTATGTTAATTTAAGCCATGTAATAATAATATGTATTTTATATACTGTCAGTACAATACTTATTAATCTCTAATCAGTATCGTAACAATTCTCGTATGTATATATATATATATATATAAGTATAATGAGTGTATGTATATGTATATATATATTCATGGTTACAAAGAAAACAAAACTTGCAACCTTAACATAAACACACACACAAAGTACAATCCTTTTGATGAGTTTGAGGTTCATGCTTGTGTGTGGGGTGGGGTGGGGGTGGGGGAGGGGGGGGTAGGGTGTTGATATATATACATATACATACATATATATATAGATATGGGAAATGGTTGGGAGCGAAGAAACAAAAAATCGGCCAGCTAGTGAAGGAGCTGTCGGATTCTAACATGACAAAACTTAGAGCAGTGCTCTCTGCGCCACCACTTACTTGTCTCCTTCCTTCACACAAAACCCTAATTATTGTAACCTAATACATACATACATATATATATATATATAATATGATATGAAAGTATATATGGATGAAATTAAAAAATATATATATTACATGTATCATTATTGTTATTATGTATATATCTATATGTTGATATGTGTATGATATAATCGTTAGAGATTTACTCCCTCCGTCCTAGAAAATATGGGACTATTAGTGTAGATACGAGAATTTAGATAAAGGATAATTAGTAAGTAATTAAGAAGTGTATTAGTAAAAATAATTATAGATTAAGATTAACATAAGTAAATAATTTAATTAAAAATAAGAAAATTATAAAATTTAAAATGCGATTAAAGTGCATAATTATATTTCCAAAAATAGAAAGGACAAAGTTATGTGGGACGGACGAAAATAGAAAATATGGACAAATTATGTGGGACGGAGGAAGTATTATTGTAGGGATGATAATGGGTTCGGAAAGACCTGAAACTTAACCTGAATCTCATCAATTTATTTGGGTTGAATCTAATTATTGTGGTATCTTGGATATGAGCTATGTATGAATTTATTTTATTTATTTCTTAATAGTAATACTCTACAAAACACTAAAGCATTTTTTTTACTATATTGCTATCATAGTTATTATTATTATTATTATTATTATTATTATTATTATTATTATTATTAAGAGTATATTATCATTTTTTTCGTATAAAAATATAAATATATCTTATTATTTAAAAATATATCGAAGAAGTGATAAAAGTAAAAAGATAATTACAGATATTTTTAAAAATTTAACTAGAATTAAATAAATGATGAGAAAAATATAATAAAAGGTAAATAGATGTTGATGAAGAATAACATATAAATATTGATTGGTTGAGTTTGCCAAAATTAATAAGAGTAAATTTAAAAGACAAACTAAAAAAAAAAAAAAAAGTTGAGACTAAACTTGACTAACAAAGAGAATCCTTATTTAGTATTATTTTAAATATATATTTTTTAATAATATAATTAAAATTAAATATAATACTCCCTCTGTTCCAATACAATAGTCTTGTTTACTATTTTTGTCCGTTCCAAAACAATAGTCTCATTTTTCATAAATAAACATATCACTATAAAACTACCCTTACTTTTTTATTAATATTACACAATTGCCACTGCTTTTTACACTAATACACTCACAATTTTAAAAAAGTCCTTTTCCCCGTACTTTTTATCCACTACCCATATAATATCAATTATGTGCCAAACACACATAGTTTTGGGCCAGAGGAATATTTATTAGTAAGACCATATCCAACCCATAACTCCATTTTTGCAGGGTCTACAATATATTTCTCCATTTTTTCAGGTAACCCTATCTCCAACCATACCCTCTATTTTTATTTTTGCAGGGTCTCTTCTCCAACCATACCCTCCATTTTTGCAGGGTTAAAAAATATTCTCTTTATATTTTATTTTACATAATTTTTAAAATTACTAATAAAATTTAATATTTTATTATTATTATACATTTAAGTTATATAATATTTTTAATTGTATTTTAAATATTATACCGAAAAATTATATTTATAAATATTATAATATTTTAAATTTAATATATATAATTTATAATTATTTTACCATAATCAGTTAATTATAAATTTTAATAAATATTAAATAAATAAATATTTTACTATAAATATTAATTACAAAATTATAATAAAAAATAATAAAATTAAAAGTAACAAAAATAAAATAAAATAAAATATATAAAATATAAGCTTAAAACAAAATAAAAAAAAGAATAAAATAAATAAAAAATATAAAAAAAAAAAAAAAATACAATTTTTTATTTTGTTGATGATATTTAAAAAATAAAAATTAAATAAATATAAAAAAAATAGATAACTATATGAATAAATAGATAATATTAAAAAAAAAGTAGATAATTATATAAATAAATAGATAATTATATTAAAAGAAAAAAGAAAATTGCACCCCGCTGATTCCAGCTGATGAATTCTGCAAAATTGCAGGGTGAGTTGAAGCAGTTTTTTTCTCCCCATCCTGCAAAAATAGAGGAAAATTTTCTCGATTGGAGATGGTCTAAGAAAATACTAGTAATAATAAATTGCATATATTATTAAAATACAAATAAACACACCGTCACATTTCAGTGGCTGTCCAATCCCAACCTAAAATGTACATTTTCTTCTTATTATTATTTTTATTATTTGTTTATCCTAAAAGTGAAAGGCACTAAAATAGAAAATATTGGTTTATAGAGGACCCAAAGCCAAATTAGTCAACACATTAATTTTTAATAACTTCTTTTATCTTAAAATGGAGTTCCAAATTGAGTAAAAGGTAATGTTAAAGCATCCCTTTTTACATATACTTTTCTCAAATTATAATATAATAAAATGAGAAATTTTAAAA